GAATGTGAGTCTATAAAGTGAGGATGGTAAGAGTTAATCCCTGACATTTGTTAAGTATCTCAGTTTCTAAATTATACATAACAAGCCAAAGAGAATGGTATTAATACTGCTTTACAGATGAGGAAATTGAGCCCCAGAGAAGTGGAGAGATTTGGCCAGTTAGTAATACTTGCATTCCTGTCTACTTGACTACCTGTCTCAGTTTTGCTGCAAAGATTAAATGAGATGAGAAATATGAAATCACTCTTGAAACAAAAGTCTGTAAAAGTCTGTAAAATGATAGGTACTACTAGCAGTAATTTATACAGAGCCTTATTCTCCTAGAAAAGGACATCCTGGACCTGCTATGTAATAGTCCCTGCTTGTTGCAGCTGTTTTGGGGGGGCTCAGAGGTCTCCACAGAAGATAAAAAGTGTCTAGCAAATCCTAAAAGTAATAGGCATGTCCCTCAGGATGGTAAAAGTAACAAAATGGAAAGTATTACAATGCCAAACTTGCAGAGGCCTGAGGAGGGAGGCAAGGATCTGTCGGAATTACAGTCACCAAAGAGTCAAGGATACATTTGCCATTCAGTCAGCAAAAGGTAGTTGAGGTGAAATGATCTTAAGGCCCCAGCAAGAAAAGTGAAGGAGGGATTGATGATGTACCAATAGGTGAACCTCCTGACCTGGCACCTAGGTTATGCCAGGCTTTCACTATTCATTCTAATTCGGTGAAGGGACACCTGGGTTGTTCCTCCAGGGCTGTTCCCTAATGTTGACGAAGGCAGGTGTTTTACACAAAGGGGCGGTGTCTCTAGTGTGTCTAACTGATTGATTTCCCATTTCTGATGTTACTAGAAGGGAGGTGCCAACTGGCAAAGTTAACTGGAGCATGGAAGAGTCTAGTGTGAAAGGTTCCAAGCATAGAAAATTCCTTAAAGGGCAGGAAGTACAGGCAAGAGGAGGGACAAAGAAAGCCTGACAATGCATGACCTAGAAAACCAGATGTTCTTTTAAACTATCACAGTAATTCTCAACAAGTCTCCTTTGAAAATGAGGAGACAGAACAGCAAAGTGCTAACATTCTATGTCCTTTAGGCCTATCAAGAACTGGCATTCTATATTCTAAGGTCCTTTCTTGAGCTAACACTCAATATCTCAATGATGCCTACCTTAAAACTCAGAGTCACCGGGAAGAGTAAAACTGTTTTCATATGGTTCATTTCTTCCAATGGCTGCTGAGCTTTCACGCTAGCATAGAAACAATGGTTATTTTGGTTGATACATTATAATTTAAGAGACCGATCATAAGTCATTTCATTCATCCAAGAGGATTGATAACCAAAGATTCCAGCTTTTAGCTGTTTCTCATGCTGAAGCTAAGCATTCTGTCTAAAATGTCCCTTCCACTCCAACTTCTACCTCGTAAAATATCCCCTGGCCATTTTTCTTTTAAGATTTCTTGAAATATAGGGCAGCTAGATGGTGCAGTGGCTAGCTAACCAGCTCTGGAGTCAGAAGGACCTGAGTTCAAATCTGACCTCAGACACATAACACTCACTAGCTCTGTGACTCTGAGCAAGTCATTTAATCCCAAATGCCTCACCAAAAAAAAAAAAAAAAGATTTCTTGAAATATGGTATCTGGGCTCTCTTTTTTTGATCATGGCTTTCAAATAGTCCAATGATTTCTAAATTTTTTCTCCTTGATCTGTTTTTCAGGTCAGTTGTTTTTCCTATAAGATACTGTACATTTTCTTCTATTTTTTTCAGCCTTTTGAATGAAGAAAACTGCTCAGATCTCTTAGAACCGAAGGGCAAAATGGAAAAAGAAAGAATCCACTGGTCACCTCCTGAAATCCCAAATGAAAACTCTCAAGAACGTCATAGCCACAAGTCAGAGCTTCCAGGTCAAGGGAAAAACGTCACAAGCAGCCAGAATAAAAGAATTCAAGTACTGAGGAGCCATGATCATGATCACATGTGATTTAGCAGCCACTACCATAAAGGAGTAGAGAGCTTGGAACAGGATATTCCTGAAGGCAAAGGATATGGACTTACAGCCAAGAATAACTTACCGAGCAAAACTCAGTATAATATTGCAGGGAGAAAAAAATCATCAATGTATCTACCCCTAACACTATGTAGAGTATGCCTAATAAATCCTCTCCTGAACTGAAGTGCATCCCCATCTACCACCTTAGGTTATGACAAGGCAAATAAAGGATTTGAGTTGGTTTGCCATAAATCTCAACTGAGGAAAGCCACGATAAAACCACCCTAAAATGTAATTTGGATTTGGTAAAAGGCCTAAGAAAAGAAGAAAAGAAAAAAATCTCTGCCACCCTAGATCATCATTGATATCACAGGTTCAGAAAAGAGGTTTTTTCTTGCCAATCCAAAGATTTGTCTTTTTTGTTTGGAACATAAAATGTCAGACCTAGAAGGGTCCCTAGAAAATATAACACACAATGTTAAAACATTAAACACAAAATATCAGAGCTAGAAGGGGAAATTTACATCCAAAACAGAGAAAAAGAATTCTTCAAGATCACACAGCAAAGCATGGGGGGAGCCTCTGGGAGAAGACAGGACATCCCAATGACTTACTAGTACTATTACTGATACCTCACACAAGCACTCAGTTAAAACTATTTTTCCCAACAAAGAGTGGCTGACCAATGAAATTTGCTATCTCAATAAGTAGTGAGTTTCCTATTTCTTAAAATGTCTAAGCAGAAGCTAAATGACCCACTGTGGGGAAGGCTACAAAAGGGTTTCTTGTACTGGGAGGGAAGTTGAACTACACAGTGTCTGAGGGCCTTTTCAGTCCTACAATTCTATCAACTGCTCTGTATGTTTTTAATCAACCAACAAGCATTAATTGTTATTCATCTGGAACTAAGGATACAAAGACCAAAAAAAAGAAAAAGAAAAGAAAAGAAATAATCTCTACCTGCAAGGAGCTTACGTCATATTAAGGAAGACATCGTGAACATATAAATATATAAAAAATGAATACAAGGTAATTTGGGGGAGGGGGCACTAGAAGTTCGGGAGATAAGGAGAGATTTCATGTAGAGGGTACCAGTTAAGCTGAATTTTGAAGGAATTTGAAGGAAAAAAAAAATTTTGAAGGAAACACCTTTGCTAAGAGTCAAAGGTGAGGAAGGAGTACATCCCAGGAATTGAGGTTGGCCAATGCAAAGGCAGAGAGATGGGTGATGAAGCATCCTATGTAATCAAAAGCAAGTAAGCTAATATAGCTACATTGTAGTACCCATGGAGGGGAGAAAAGTAAGAAGATTAGAAAAGTAAGAAGGCATCAGGTTATGAAAAGCTTTAAAGGCCAAAGGAAATTTTATACTTGATCCTACAGGTAAAGAGGAGCCACTGGAATCTACTTAGGGGTTAGGGTGTGACGTGATCAGACCTGTATTTTAGGAAAATCACTTTGGTAACTGGGTGAAGGAAGGACTGGAGTGGGAAGAGGCAGAACGATTAAGAACTGAAGAACTTGTTTGCAGAAAGCACGGAAATTTTATAGTGACTTGAAGAATTTTCAAAATTATCTTTCTGCCATGACTAAATAATTATTACCTATGCTCAAAATATAAAGCAGTCTAGGAAAGAAGGTAAAAGGAGCATAACAGAAGGGCTTCAATGCAAACACAAAAAAGAAGGATTTGAAGAATGGAAGGATATCAAAGAAGAGGAAATAGGAAGAAGTGTGACTCAATAGGTAAGAGGCTCTTCCCTGAGAAGGAAGCTACACCCTCTGAAGAGAAAGTAGCTGACTTCCAAGGAAAGATGATGTGGATCAGCATCCACAAAGTGAGAGATCGTCCAATAAGGAAAAGAGGAAAATAAATAGGTAGGGTAGGGAGCAACTCCTGATTAAGGTACTGAGCCAAGAAATCATTAACAACTCTGCTCTTGGAGGGGAAAGAACTCCACAAGATGTCAAAAAAATTCAAAAAGGGACAACACAAAAAACAAAGTCCTGACCTCCAGATGTCACAGGGATGTTGCTACAAAAGAAATATACTGAAATATCTAGAAATGCAGCTGCCCTCCCACAGAGGCCCTAGGGCATTCAAGTCCAGGCAGAGGGGGCCAAGGTCTTTGTGACCAGCAATAAAAGATGTCTTTTGCAGCATGGCACAGTGAACAAAGAAGGGCTCAGGAAGACTTGGGTTCAAATCCTGACTTTGATGCTTTATTAGCTGTGGGATCATGATCAAGTCACTTAATCTCATTGAGCCCTACTTTCCTATCTTTAAAATAGAGATAATACCTAGAGTACCAAAGTTGTCTTGAGGTTCAAATGAGATAATAAATGTAAAGTATTTTGGAAACTTTAAAGCACTATAGGAATGTCAGTTATGATTACTTTAATAAGTCTGAAGCATCACTATTCCTAAATGGGAAGACTGATCCTCCTGCTGTACAGTTGAAAAAGGGGACTTAGCCCCTGTATGGACATTAGGAGTCATTCCAAAGTTCCCAGATGGCTCTCAACAGATCCTAATACTAAATTACTAATAAAAAGGGAGCCAGAGAATAGGTAAGATACACTTCAGGCCAAATAATAACAGTATCATTTTGCTAAATGAACAACATAGTGTTTTCCATAAAGCTCAGAACAAAAATCTATCTTCACAGTTCCTCCATGCCCTGCTAGGTTCAGCTCCATAAAGGGTCCATCCAAGAGGGTAAGGGCTAGGAGCTATGACTTTAGTAACCTCAAGAGACAGAAAGGGAGAGTGAAAGAAAGACATCGTGGCTGCACTTTGGAAAACAAGGGAAGGTTAGGAGGGGGGAAGAGTATAGGAGGAAATACAATGAGTTTGGTTTTGGACATGTTGAGTTTAAGATGTCTACTTGACATCCAGAGTGAGATGTCTGGAATGTAATTGGACAAGCAAGATTAGAGGTAGGGGAGAAAAGATGGAGAGAGTCCTTGAGCTTATTACAGAAGTCATTTCCCTCCGTGAAAGTCATTCCTAAGAACACTTACCTGTGTAGGCCATGGTCTTGGGGTTGCCATAGGGAGCCCCAGGTTGGACGGGGCTGTAAACAGGGTTCATTGTGGAAGACTGAAGACCCTAGAGGGGAAAGAAAGAAACCAGGTTGGGTATTTTGATCAAATGTCCTAAAAACAATCACAATCTTATGAGTATTGCTATACAGTTTACAAAACCCTTTCATGCTCACTCTCTTATTAGAGCAATGTCAACAACCTATGTTTCAATTTTTTTTTAAACCTTACAAATGCTTTCTTCCCAACAAGTTTGTAACATGAGTAGTAGTGAGAAACAAATATTTTACTTAAAGATGAAGAAAAGTAAGGCTCAGAAACAAGTTATTTGTCCAAAGTCATACAACTTGGTCAGAACCCCAGATTCAAAGCCATGTCTTCTAACTCGGCAAATAATAAAGGCTGTCCCAAAAGTCTTAAATGATAGCTTAAAAATTCACTAAGCCTTTTGTGGTATCCTATATTTCTAGAGTATTTAAAGTTTACAAAGTATTCTCCTCATAACAGCCCTGTGAGATAGATCTGTTAAGTAGAATTATAAGATTTAGAGTTCCTCTTGCCCTAACAATTACAACAAAAAGATTTGTAACAACTTCCCATCTTTCCTCATCCATTCTTCCTGGATATTGGACTGGAATCATCTTCCTAAAGCTCAGTTAGGACAATGTCCCTCCTCTTCTCAAGAATATGTCATGGCTCCCCATGGCCCACACAGAAAAAGACAGACTACTCATACCAGGAGTATTTGAGGCCTTTCATGGTCTGGTCCAGTCTCCCTCTTCCAGCCTCATCTCTTCCACATCATTTTCTATATCAGCTAAATAGCCTGGTTTTTCTCAACTCTTTGCTCACACTAATCTCTCTGCCTAGAATGGATGGCCATCCCCTCCCCAATACTTCATTCATTCAATGAACTTTTATTAAATACCTACAGTGTGCCATTCAGTCAACAAGTATTTATTAAATATTTCTACATATGTATTATATGTTTATTAAGCATTTATTATATATGAGACAGAAAATAAATACAAATAAATACAAAGTAGTTGAATACAAAGTAGGGCAGACACTAGCAAAAATTTCTTATATAAAAAAGAGAAGGATTCTGGGAGGTCAAAATGAAGAAGGAATGCATTCTAGGCATAGAGGCTGGTCAGTGCAAATATACAGAAATGGGAAGAGTGTCATAGGTTAGGAACAGACAGTAAGCCAGTTTTGTTGAATTGCAATGTGCATGTGCAGGAGGGGTTGCAATGCAAAGTTAGGACTGAGCCAGGTTATAAAAAATTAAACAGAGAAATTTATATTAGATCCCAGAGGGAACAGGGAAACGTCAGAGTTGATTTAGTAGGGGAGTGGTATGATCAAGAAATAGCACCTGGCAACTGTGTGGAGCAGGGGTGGGGAACCTATGACCTCAAGTGGCCTTCTAAGTCCTCAAGTTCAGCTCTGTGACTGAGTCCAAGTTTTACAGAACAAATCCTTTTATTAAGGGGATTTGTTCTGTGAAGTTTGGATTCAGTCAAAGGGCTACACTTGAGGACCTAGAAGGCCACATGTAGCCTCGAGGCCATAGGTTTCCCACCCCTGGAATCAAAAATGGACTGGAGTAGGGAGAGACTTGAGAAAAGGAGACAAGTGAGGAAGCTGTTGCAATAATGTAGACAAGAATTAAGGAGGGTCTGAATAAGATGGAAGCTGTGTGAGTAGAAAGGAGTTGGATGCAAGAAATGTAGAGGGAGAAAGAGCAAGATTTGGCATCTGACTGATGTATGGGGTGAGAGAGAGTGAGGAGTCAATGATAATGGCGAGATTATGACCTAGGAGACTGGAAGGACAGTGGTACCTTTGACAGAAATAAGGAATTTTGGAAGAGATGAGGGAGAAAAAGTAATGAGTTCCATTTTGGCTATGCAGAGTTTGAGATGTCTCCTGGACATCCAATTGAAAATGTCCAATATGTAACTAGTGATGTAGGATCGAAACTCAAGGGAGAGATTGGGGCTGGATATATAGGAATTATCTGTACAGAGATAACTGAATCAACAGAAGGTGATGAGGTTATCAAGACAGATTATGGGATTGCAGGTAGGAGCCTTAGAAAACATCCAAGGTTAAGAAACATGGCACAATGGGCTAATGCAAAATTAAATGTACTGTGTACAAAGTCACAGCCATATTGTAAGATGATCAGCTGTGAATGACTTAGCTATTCTCAGCAATATAGAGATCCAAGACAACTCTGAAGGACTTACAATGAAAAATACCATCCATCTCCAGAGAAAGAACTGATGGTGTCTGAATACAGATTGAAGCATACTTTTTTTTACTTTCTTTATTCTTCTTGAGTTTTTTTTCCTTGTGTATGTTTTCTTTCACAGCATGACTATTTTAAATATGTTTTGCATGACTACACATGTATAACCTATATCGAATTGCATGCTTTCTCAATGGGAGGGGGGTTGTGAGGGAGGAAGAGAGAGAATTTGGAACTCAAAGTTTTAAAAACAAATGTTAAAAAATTGTTTTTACATGTTACTGGGGAAAAATAAAATACTAAATAAAAGCTTAAAAAATTTTAAAAAAACCCATGGCATGGATGATAAGCCCACAAAGGAGATAGAACAAGTACTTTGCTAGGCACTGGGTATACACAGACAAAAATTACACAATCCCTGTCCTTCCAAGGAGCTTACATAATTTTGGGAAGAAACACTATATACCCAGAAATTAAATACAAAATATATACAAATTAAAGATAATATAATTTCCATGAGAGGATATTAATACCTGGAAGGAAAAGGGAAGCTTCTTCTGGGAAGTGATCTTTAAAATGAATTTTAAAGAAAGCTAAGGATCCTACAAGGCAAAGGCCAAGAGGGAATAGATCCCAAGCATGAGAAACAGCCCATACAAAGACACATAAAGAAGAGATTGAATATCTTATGCAGGGATTAGCAGGTAAGTAAATCTGGCTAAAAAGTGGAGCACAGGTTTAGGAGTGATGCTACATAAAGCTCCCATCTTTGGCTATCAACATCTTACCCATCATTCAAAGATCAATTAAGGTGCTATTTCTTCAAGAGAGCCATCCTTGATCTTCCCAGCCAGATGTAATCTCTCTACCTCTCATTCCCAACACTGCCAACAGGACTTTACATGTGCCTATCCTACACTCCTACTATATTCCATTTTTTCTTAGTTCTTGGTATTCACATTTTAGCCCTCTTACTACACTGATCTCCCAAAAACAGGGACTATGGCTTAATATAACTCCAAATTCTATAGTTCTTTAAGGTTTACAAAACATTTTTCTCACAACATTAGGAAGTTGGCCATTCAGATATTATTATTTCCTTTTTTGGAGACTGGAAACTGGAACTCAATGAATCTATGTAACTTAACCATGGTTGTATTGCTACTAAAAGTTAAACTAAAAGTGTGAACCCAAGCTTCCTGACTCTTTCTACTCCATATCATCTTCCACTTGTCAACACGCAATCATAACTTCAAGAAACAGTGAAAATTAGGTATGTTACAAGAGAAACGAACATGAATGTGGAACCCAAAGAGTTCACAATCTGTACAGAAGTTTGCATATTTATGACAGAAAGACAAAGGAAACAGGAAGAAACATACAACTCCACCTAAAGGGGCATTGCATGGGAGGGGGAAAAGTGTAGTAAAGGAGGAAAAAGGACAAAACCCCTCCTGGAAAGGGGAGGCAAGACAGGGCAAAAGCCAATCTTTTCCCTTGGGAACTGCTACGCTATGAAGATAGGATGGTCTGTATATCTACAGAGTCCCAATTGTACAAGCAAATTTCCCATCCTAGCACAGACTGGAGGACACACAACAGTAGGCACTGAAGACATGTTTGTTCCAAGGGTAGGTTGCTGGGTCAATCTGTAGAGAGCTGCTAGAGATAGGAAAACCTGGGATGCTGCTTCTTTTAAGAAAAACAAAACACAAATCATAGTACAAAGCAATATGGTCTAACACAAAGTACAACGGACCAGGAGTCAGGAGACAAGGGTAAATTCTGTGGCACTTGGCAAGTTGCTTCCCCCTCTTTGGGCCTTCATTTCCTCCTCCATGTAATGAAGAAATTGGAATAGATAATATCTAAGGTCCAATCTAATGCTGACATTCTATGTCCTCAGATCCTTTCTAGCTAGGATACTCTATGCTCTCCAGGCCCTACCAGCTCTAACCTATGTTCCAAGGGCCCTTCCTGCATGCAATTATCCTAAGCATCTACCTCTATGAACAGGAACATTCAGTTGTTCCCACTAGGGGGAGTAAAAGTTTGAGCATCTAAGCCTCACCTGTAGACCATTAACAAAGGTCCTTAGATTCCCACCTGTTGAGCTAATCAGATCCTCTGGTTCACAGCCAAAGGCCCTTCAAAGGGGGATTAATTCTCTGTGTTGACCATTTAATGCCAAATAATTAAGTACATCCAAAGCTGCTTCTTTGATTCCTTAGAGGAAACACAGGCAATGTGTGAATTAGTTTGGTAACAATTAGACAAGTACTCCTTTAATTGTCTTCATGAATCTCATTTTCAATCTATATACAGTACATGAAAAAACTGGTGTTTGTTAGAAAAGCCATTTGGCTAAAAACTCAGTGTCCAGGAACGCACACACATATTTTGAAAGAGGATGATTATGGATTCTGGAGGTGGAAGATGCCTTAAAAAGATCTATTACCACTTCTCTCATTTTACCAAGGGGAAAACTAAAGGTGAAAAAGAGAAATAGAGATTATCTGAATTCCAGATCAGGTCTTCTGATCCCAAATCTTGTTCTATTTCTACTATTCTATGATGCTTTCTTATAAATATGTACTATTACTATTCTCACCTGATATAGCGCTAGAACACTAGACTTTGCATCAGAAAGGATTGGAGTCACAATGTCCTGGGTTCAAATTCTACTTCAGACACTTACTAGGTGTTCATTAATTTCTCAGGGGGGAAAAGAATACCTATCTCACACTGTTGTGAGACTCAAAAGAGATACTTTCAAGTGCTTGACAAAAGCTTTAACCACTATGCAAATA